GTCTATGGCAATAAGAGTTGATAAAGCACATTGGTCTAAGAAAGTGAAAGTTGATGAAGCACATTGGTCTATGGTAGTAAGAGTTGATGGAGCACATTGGTCTATGGCAATAAGAGTTGATAAAGCACATTGGTCTAAGAAAGTGAAAGTTGATGGAGCACATTGGTCTATGGTAGTGAGAGTTGATGGTGCACATTGGTCTATGGAAGTGAGATTTGATGAAGTACATTGGTCTATGGCAATAAGAGCTGATAAAGCACATTGGTCTAAGAAAGTGAAAGTTGATGGGCACATTGGTCTATGGTAGTAAGATTTGATGAAGCACATTGGTCTATGATAGTGAGATTTGATGAAGCACTTTGGTCTAAGGAAGTGAAAGTTGATGGAGCACATTGGTCTATGGTAGTGAGAGTTGATGGAGCACATTGGTCTATGGCAATAAGAGTTGATAAAGCACATTGGTCTAAGAAAGTGAAAGTTGATGGAGCACATTGGTCTATGGAAGTGAGATTTGATGAAGCACATTGGTCTATGGAAGTGAGATTTGATGAAGCACATTGGTCTATGGAAGTGAGATTTGATGAAGCACATTGGTCTATGGAAGTGAGATTTGATGAAGCACATTGGTCTATGGCAGCGGTTCTCAACCTTTTATGCTCGGCGACCCCTTTTTACAATCCACCCCACACACACACACACACACACACATACAGCAATAGAAGAAAAGACAAAAACAATCCATATTTTTTATGGTCTTTGACGACCCCTGGCTAATTGTCAATCGACCCCCAAGGGGGGTCGCAACTCAAAGGTTGAGAACCCCTGGTCTATGGCAATAAGAGTTGATAAAGCACATTGGTCTAAGCAAGTGAAAGTTGATGGAGCACATTGGTCTAAAAGTGAAAGTTGATGGAGCACATTGTTCTATGGCAGTAAGAGTTGATAAAGCACATTAGTTTATGGAAGTGAGATTTGATGAAGCACATTGGTCTATGGCAGTAAGAGTTGATAAAGCACATTGGTCTAAGGAAGTGAAAGTTGAGGAAGCATATTGGTCAACATATATTGTACTATTTATTTAGGTTGGCCTGGAATTTTAAAACCATTTAAGTAACTGGAACCTTCATACACTAATTTTAAAATGTTTTTTTTTTTAATTGTCTAATCATCCTGACATGATCCAAAAAAATTTATTTGAAATGAACTCATATAAATATACACGCATTTAGGAATGAAATGAAGGTAAACATCCTTTTTGGTAATTGGTGGTACATTGGAGACAAACAAAAATGAGCTAGTGATAGATTTTTATGCTACAATTAATAACTTTGTAATTTCATAAAGGCCTACCTAGTTGAGCTCATTTTGTTGAAATTCAACTGTTTCTAAGATTTATCTTCACTAAAAGAATACATTAATTCAATAGAAAAACTATATTATAAGATAAAATGCGTTTTAAAAATTGTTCCAATATTTATTGAATGTAAACATGTGTGGTGATACAAGTTCCTTTAAGTCTTTAATTGCAAAGAAATTTAAATAGTAATGTATGTACATAAGGCTAACATTGATAAACAAACAAATTAACTAGATGTTTTCTTTCTCATTGTTGACAACACACCCGTGACTCGCTCTCCAGTCCACTAACTGGCCAGGTACAATCTGTTGACCGTGTGTCACGGTTGGCCACACAATGCTGTATAGTAACTGGGTCACACCGACATGCTTTATAAAAAAATAAACATTAAAATGAAAAAAAGGAAAGAAACTTTACTGAAAGATATTTTACTGTAAGTTAAAAATAAATTTAATTAAGGCATCAATAATAAACCATTTGAGATTAGTTCAGTTTTACTATTGTTTTGTGTGACATTCGTAGTAACATTACTTTTTGTCTATATCAATAGGTAGAAGTAACTCAATGGGAGCTTGTACTAATGATTCTAGTCTGCAGTCAGTCAGTAACACTTCTGATAGCTCTATTACACAGCTGTTGTAGTGCTGATATGACTTCAACAAAAATTAAAAATAAATTCTACAATCAATATTATTAATTATAGCCTGTAACTAATCAGCACAATTTATCTATTTATTGCTCTAGTTTATAATCAGCTAACAGAGAAGATGTTTAATCCACATTTAATCAACATATCTCTTGTATTAATTATTATAAATTAAAATTATATATTTTATTTTTATTTTATATCCTTTTATATTAGTGGCTCTAATATGGGTTAGGGTTATGTTATATCTCTAGTCTTAATCAACACAGCTAATGTACAAATGGCTCTAGTCTACAATCAATGAACATAGCTATTCTATTAATAGCTCTAGTCAACAATCAATAAGCACAGTTACTATATTTATGGCATTAGTCTATGAGATTCCTAGCAAAAGTATTAATTGCTCTAGTCTACAATTAATTGACAGGACTTGTATACTGATTCTAGTCTTCAATTAATCTGGACAGCAATGGCTTATTTATACAGCTTTTGGTATAAGTGGCTCTTGTCAACTATTAAACAACTTATGTATATATGTCCGCAGTCTTCCTTGCTTTTGTATGGTTGGTTGTAATCCATTGTTTATGTATATACAGCTTCGAGTAACTTGCCTGTCGCAAACACCTCAATGTTTTACTTTCAATGCTCCATTAAAGTTTCAATGTTTTAGAAGTATGTAGGTCATGCTTTTTAGCATTTCAATTTCTCTGACACTTCTTCTTCTTTTAGCCAGCTTTTTGCTGCTGAACTGTCAGCTCTTTTGCAGACTGTGCCAAGGAAAAATAGTGTGCTGTTTTCAGTTGTTCAGCACTGCCGTACAGGGTGTTGGTTATGTTGGGCTGGAGTGGTAGTAGGGTCTGCCTAAGGTTGATTAGGAAACCTACACTAAATTTCTCTGACACAAATAACTGCTGTTCCAATTGGAACACAATTGGTATGGCACTTATTTTTCTTGTTACCAGGAAGATAGTTCCAGGATTTGACCCTAAAAACTTTTCTGCTCATTTAACGTATATTATTATGTGATTAATTGCTCATATCTTGTGATGCTCCATAAAAACAGGGAGTAGCCAAACAGTATAAAAAAAAAAGTTCCTCTTTTAGACCGTGTGGTCTATAGGGCAGATGATGTAAAGGTCATCTGTTTCTGTGGCCTATGGCTAACGAGGGTGTCATACGACCAACCACCTTTACTTTTCCCCAACTAATGTTAGGTACCCATTTGAGCTGGGTGGACTCAGAGACGTCCAAAGATCCTAAAATTAAAAATCCCATCCTCCATCAAGATTCAAACCCGGGATCCCCAGTTCAGAAGCCAAGCGCTTTACAGCTCAGACACCGCGCCTTCAGAAAAACAGTATACATTTTTATAAATTCTATGTTGCAAGCACCACTTTGAGGTCAGGAAATGGGGCTAAATTGGCAGGACATACTTCACTAAGGCATTGCAATGTCTCATTTTTTAAGAAAGATGAAATTAAAAAAAACAAAAAAAATTTTTTTTAAACTTTAAAAAAACAGAAAAAAAGCAAAATTTGAATTGGCCGAAAAGTTAAAACTACATATTCTACATTGTAATTCAAGTTTACTATTGTTATTTTGTATTGTAAGTAAAACATAACATTAATGATTTATCAACTTTTTTAAGTGATGTGAATTAGTCAAACGTAATTATATTTTGTACATTGTGAATAGTGTCATATATTTTGCAAGATACCATTTGTCATTGATTGAAACTGTGATGAAATATTTCAACCATTTTTATAGTGATTGCATTTAAGACAATTTATATTGTACATTTTGTTAGTTGTTTTGGAGTTTTTTTTCTGCTTTGTATTTTTAGCAGGTTTTTTTGTTGTTTTTTTTACATTGAAGAGAGATATACACTATTCATATAGATTTAAAGATCTTCATTGTTGTTCTACATATTGTTAATTGTATTATTTTGTTATTGATTGTAGGCTGAAGTTTGTTGCTGTTTTTTTTTTGTTTTTTTTTGTAATTTACCATTGTGCATTTTATTAAGATTGGTGGATGACGTGTGCTAGATGAGAAAATTGTGTGGTTCATGGTTTGTTTTTATCTTTGTGTGTGTGTGTATAAATGCTGGAAAAAAAAAGTATTACATTTCAGCATTTTTTAATCATTGGAGCATTTTTATGAATTAATTTGCATTTATGATTATAGTTGTCTGGTGAGAATCTAAGGACATAACAATTTATTTTAAAAAATCCATAATGTTTTATAATTGTCTTTTAAATATTTGAAATACATTTTGTATGTCTTCAGTTCCAAAGATTCTTACTTTCTTATAATTATATAATACAGACGTTACTTAAAAAAGAACATGATTACGTCCTATGCGTCATGCATTCAGTCATGCATACTAACCAATGACTTAAATTCTGTCAAGTCACTGGTTTTCCTGGCTAGCTCAGGCAACCCATTCAATGCTCTAATAGCACTAGGGAAGAAGGAGTATTTGTACAAATTTGTCCTAGCATATGGGATGAGGATGAATGCAGTGTTTCACATGACTATGCAAACCCAGTTGCGACCTGCTTAATTTTACACATCTGATGCAGTCAAATCTGATACATTAAATCAGATAAATGCAACTGGTAGATTCAGTGCCATCTAAAAATGACATTCACATCTTCACTGACTGATGTTTTAGTTCTCTCATGATTGATATACATTTCTCTATACTGCTACGTGTTTCATTATTGAAAAATTGATGATTCATTCGATTTTTTGAAAAAAAATTTTTATATTAGATCATGTGATAGGCCCATCTATTATTTATTTAGTAGAATTATGTTTGCTGAGCACCTAGAGGCAGAAAGGAAACTTTCTCCCAGATACTCTCCCCCCCCCCAACCAGTTCCCTTTAGGACCATAGCACACTGAGCATGCCACAATCAGAAAAGATGCTCTATATAAAAGCAATTACTCAAAATAACTAGATCAAAGAATATGTTGTCAAAATCCATCTCTTTCTACCTCTCTGATAATTTAATTACCCCCCCCCCCCTCACACGCCATCTATCGGGAAAAAAAAAAATGAAAGAAAAATAAAACATCCCCCTCATTTTAATTTCAGAACTTCGTAAACTTGAATGATGCATACTTTCCATTTCTAAAGGTTCATGTATTTAGACGAGTCACTTGTACTATTAACAATAGCTTCTTTTTTTTTTTTTTTTTTGTGCATGCCATTTCAAGAATAGAGTAAATTTTTCCAGCCAAATTAAAAAGCTCAGAAACGCCAGGAACACTGAAAATATTATTTTCTTTTAAATTCTCATTCTTTACTAAATATTCCCTGAACCAGGGTTTTTTTTCTGGGGGAATAGGGATGGGGTAAACAAAAATCTCATTCATTACTTATTAAGAGCAAATTAATCACACTTACTACAGGTTGGTCAGCAATTTAATGGAGGATTTGCCAATAAAGAAAAAACTTTTTTTTTTTGTTACTTGTTTTATTTATCAAATTATTTAATATTCTAGGTTTTTCTAGGTATTTCAGCATTCTATTTCAACAGCCCAGATTTAGTTCAAACGATACATTTAATGAAACAGAGAATTCTATAAATGTATTTGTATACTTTTTATTCCAAATAAAATAAAAATAACAACAGATAAATACTTGGTATAAAACATATGTTGGTATCATGTGAATGTTTCAGCAACAATGGATTGGAAAAGCAATTTTTATAAATATGAAGAAAGAATGTGGTTTCATAAATCTGCATATTTAAACAGATAAATGGCTGTTATAAAATGGTATTCTGCAACTACGGCATGAGAATCAGTGCTGAAAAAAGCAAAATACTAGTTTGTGTGGAGATAGTACAAGATGTTGCATACAGTTGAATGGTCAAATATAACAAGTTGGCTCACTTAAATACGTATCTAAGTGGAGGATCAATAAAAGAGATAGAAACCCGTTTAAGTTTGCAAACTGTAAATCTGAAAGAGAAAAATCAACTTCCAAGTCAAATTAAAACTGTTTTCCTCTTAAATGGTTGTGAAAGTTGGACACTGAATTCTGAGGCAAAAATCTTAAAGCAGAATTAAAACCTTTGATAGTAAATGCTAACATCAGTTTCATAGTGTAACTTCTTATACTGGACTGAAGTATACTATGAAGGGTGGAAACAAATTTGGGACTAACAGCACACCATACAGCCAGGCAATACATAATAGACTAATGCCTGTTTAAGATACCTAGGTGTTATAATAAATGAAAATCTGTCATGGAATCCACATATTGATGAAACTATAAAAAAATCCAACAAAGCATTAGGGTTTATTAAAAGAAATTTCTATAAATCAAATAAGAACATAAAACTAAAATGTTATTTAACCTTGGTTAGGCCAATAATAGAATGCTAGGACAAATTTGTACAAATACTCCTTCTTCACTAGTGCTATTAGAGCATGGAATGGGTTGCCTGAGCTAGCCAGAAAAACCAGTGACTTGGCAGAATTTAAGTCATTGGTTAATATGCATGACGCGTAGGACATAATCATTTTCTTTTTTTAAGTAACGTCTGTATTATATAAGATAAGATTTAGCCTTGACCTTGTAAAAAAACAACAATTTAGAGAATAATTCATTTTCACTTCTACAGTGTGCAACAAAAAACAAAGTTCAAAATATGTCAAGAAAAATCAAGGTTCAAAGGCAAGAAAGTCATTCAAATAAAAATACACAACACATTGCTGAATCAAAGTATACAATGATTACAGAAACTCAAGTCTTCTTTATATTCCATATTTGTAAACGTTCCTGAAAGGGGATGTAATCCTCAGTTCAGGAGTAAAAAAAAAAAAAAAGAAAGGGAAGTGATCATGGTGAAAAAAGCAAGTCTAGTGTAAAAAAAATTATATAGGTATGTTCAAATTGAATCAGTGAAAACAAATGTGAGGCAAAAACAAAAAATTAAAACAAATTTGTTACCAAATTAATATATTTACAAAATATATATTTTTTAAGGTGCTAATAACAAAATAAAAATATAGTTGTAGAATATAATCTACACCTACAATACATGACAAAGCAAGTAAAAAATTAAAGCTCCCCTTTCAGACCTTGAAATCTTTTGAGCAGATGATGTAAAAGTCATCTGTTTCTATGGCCAAAAGGTTAAAGAGGGTATCAGGTGGCCAGCACATAGACCGACCACCTTTACTTTCCCTAACTAATGTCAGGTACCCATTAGAGTTGGATGGACTTGAAGGTATCAGAAAATCCCAAAATTCAAAATCCCACACAGAAATTTGAACCCCAAGCCCCTCAGATTGGACGCTAAGCACTTTACCACTCAGCCACCTTGCCCCAAATACATGACTGCTTTACAGAAGAAATTTAAACTAGTGTAAATTTGTTTTATAAATCTTTTTTATCACAATGATTTGAAATTATGTGTCAACATACATCAATGTTTTTCTAACCTGACCCCAAAATTAAATTTATAAGAAATTTTTCAGAAGTGTTGTTTTTTTGTGTTTTTTCGGACAATGTTTTAAAAAATAATAATAAAAAATCGACTATTTTATTTGTGCTAAAACTCTGTTACAAGTGAAAATATTAAACATTATGACCTAGTTTTGAAACTTACTTTTTAAATGGCATTTCTAAAAGTAAAAGTATACACATGAAACATGAATAATAATAAGAATAGCTCAGTGCTCTGTGCTAGGTCTAAGACAAAAAGGTCAACAATAACAACAAAAAACATGTCATGCTTTCTTCTTTAAAAAGCACAGTGACGTAGCTAGGGTGGGTTGGGGGGGGGGGGGAGAATTTGAAAAGGGCCCCCACCTGAGGGTGGCCCCCCAAATGAGTGTTGGAAATTGTTTTTTACATTAAATATTACACAAAATGCAGGGGCCCCCAAAGAGGTCAAGCCCCCCGGGCTCCCAAATGATGGCGAATTCCTAGCTATGCCACTGTTAAAACAATAAAGTGTATATAATAAAACATTAAATTTACTTTAACAAGATCATAAGAGTTGCATATATCTGAAAAGACTTATAAATCATCAACAGAAAACTGTTTATTCCAGAAAATCCTGAAAGTAAAATATGGCAGTCTAATAAATCTAACCATCAGTTAGAACAGCAGTAATTCAGATTGAATCATAAAAGTACCAAAACCCAATTTTATTCACATATACTTACAGGTGATGGTGTTCACTTACATGGACTTTAATTTTATTTAATCAGATTAAATATGAGAAACAATGTCAATAAAAATTAATAACAATGAATAATCTGATGAAACAGGAAAACTGAAGATGCAATTCTATTGCTGCATGTCCATCTCTATAAGCATCTTAATACACCCAAACCCAAAACGTATGCACAAGTGCTGTTTAAAGATTTCTCCTTGGCTTTCAACACCATACAGTCGCATCTAATGATCAACAAACTGAGTAGCTGAAATGTCAGCCCCTACATACAAGAAATGGTTCTAAAATTTTGTATCCAATGTTCCCAGTTTGTTAAAGTTATCATCACCTAGTTTCTCATATTTCAGGAGGTAAAACTGAGCAACAAAGTTTGACAGACTGGAGCATTGACAACTTTTTAGACTGAATAACAAAAACTTCATATAATAGACTTGAAAAGTACAAAAAAAATGAATACATGAACTCCAGATCAACAGTTTACCTACACAAGTGAACTCAAGACTCATCAGAACATCTCAGTGTGAGTGTCTGTTCTCTTTTGTGAAATGTTATTTTAATTTTAAAAAGAGTCCTCCATGAAATCACACCAAATAACCAATAAGTATCAGTACAGCAGCTTTAGTCTTAGTCAAAACTTAAATATCAGTACAGCAGCTTTAGTCTTAGTCAAAACTTTAGTATCAGTACAGCAGCTTTAGTCTTAGTCAAAACTTAAATATCAGTACAGCAGCTTTAGTCTTAGTCAAAACTTAAGTATCACTACAGCAGCTTTAGTCTTAGTCAAAACTTTAGTATCAGTACAGCAGCTTTAGTCTTAGTCAAAACTTTAGTATCAGTACAGCAGCTTTAGTCTTAGTCAAAACTTTAGTATCAGTACAGCAGCTTTAGTCTTAGTCAAAACTTTAGTATCAGTACAGCAGCTTTAGTCTTAGTCAAAACTGAAGAGCAAACCAGAAAAAAGATTCTACCAATTGTCCACTTAGTGTGACTATTTGATTGCTCTGCATCTCCCCCTCCCTTCTTTTTTTGTAAACAATGTAAGTGTCGAGAAAACAAAAGAGTGTCTGGTATCATTAGCAAGAGTCCCTCCAGATTAGGATGGCTGCCTGGTCATGTATTTCGTGCGCTGAACTGTCGTTTGGATTTACCGGTGGTTGCGGGTTCAAACCATGCCCGCTCCCTTACCAGTCGGGAGGTTTGGACTAGGAAGTAAATTATCTTCAACTCTGAATGAACATCCGAAACATGGAAAACATTTGACAAACATTACTATGAGCAAGCTATAAGAACATTCTTTTTCTAAAAGAAATCACATTTCATTTCTCTTGTGAGTCCTAGTTCTAAGTGGAGGTATTCTCCTCCTCACCTTGACCCCAAATGTTTAATTAGAACATATTAGTTAGTGCCATTTGCCTGTTTAGTAAATTATACATTGTAATACATTATATAGATCAAAAAAATGTTTGTTTGTAAAATGTTTTACATGTTTCGGATGTTCCTTCACAGTTGAAGATAGTTTACTTCCTAGTCCAAACCTCCTACAGGACGACGAGGGATGGGAACGGGCAGGATTTGAACCCTCGACCATCGATAAATCAGAACAACAGTCCAGTGCGCAAACTGCACGACCAGGCAGCCATCCAGATCATTTTGAAGTATTCAGCAATTTTCTTTTTTTCAGTGAAAAAAAAAGTTTGTCATGATTATTATCTTATCTTATATAATTCTTATGAAAGTAAGTTAGTGCTACGGAAGCTCAAATCCCTCTTTAAGCTCTGGACAAATCCCTGAGATTTTACAAAGTGCACTCAGGTCTCCATGGGGAACAGTAAGTTTGTCCTTTAACATTTCTTAGCCTGCCTCTGCAGGCTTGACTGGTGCAGAGCTTTGCTGCAGCAGTTGTTTGATCTCTGGTACATTCTTATGAAGTAGTGACTATGCCTGATGAGGTATTGAGAAATTGCTGAAAATGATCAGCTGCCATCCTAGAGGCAGGCAGAATTTGAGCCGTTCCTAGGTGAGTTGGCCAAAAACCGGCCTGCCCTATTCTACTTTACTAGATGATATGCTGCCCTTATGAGCGAGTGATTCCCCAGTCCTAAATCCATCCATAGTGGTGTCTGGAATGTTTTCACGACTTGCTCTAGGGGGCAACAATAAAAAAAAAGTTTTTAATGCACAGTCTGAATGTTTGTTGGACAATAAATGTAGTAAGATATGACATTTTTTAAATGTTAGGTATAGCATATCTCCTAGCACAAGACATGTTTGTGGTTCAGGTAGTTAGACCAGCTGATTATTATCTTATTTTATATAATACAGACATTACTTCAAAAAAGAATATGATTATTAGGACCAATGCCCCAGTGTAATCTGATTAACCAGAATCCACTGTACCTGAGACCCAACCATGGAATTTAAAAATCATCGCCTTTCAATCATATCTAGTTAATCTCTGAACCTAATTTAAACTGAGCATTTGTCTATAGACATTATTTAAAACTGGACATTGAGTCTAAACATTATATAAATCTGGACTTCAAGTCTAAAATTTATATAAAGCTAAACATTATAACCTTTTTTTTTCAACATTTAATAAATAATCTTGGCTATCAACAGGGTATTTTTAATATCTGAATAATATTTTATTTTGTGTGTGAAACAAAAGTAATATGATAGATATGATATATCAAGTGTATCACTGTCATCAGTTTTACTGTCATTAGATTTGATTGTTATGTGTCAATGGCAGAAGATGTGTTATTGCCATTAGTTGTAACCATGTCACTGGCATTGGTTTTAACAACACATTATACAATATCAGCAAAAAATTAACTGTTTATCTGTATGGATTTATTATCATATGTGTTATGAGTATGGCATTCTAATACTTCCTTGGTAATACGACTGTCAACAAAAGTTTGACTCAAGGGTGATATGTTCTCTGTATCATGACTTGCGTGTGGTAAAGAGTTGTATACATTTGGAGTTGTCACTTTCCTTTCCCATTGTTTTTCATTTTGGTAAGTTTCAAGGTCACTTGGTGAACTAGTGTCTCTGTCAGAACTATCACTATTTCCTTGATCACTTTCATTAGAGCCTCGTTCCATTCCTTCACTTGTGTAGTCTTGAAAGTCAGAAGTCTGAAAAAATGCAATGCCATTAAAAAAAAATAATGTTTCTGAAAAGTGTTCATTTATAAGTAAGTTTTGGCAGTTTCTGAAAAGTAACTGTAAAAAAAAAGATCTCTCCAGTTGTATTGTGTTCTTCACAACTCTATCGTTTGGCATATCTTGATGGAATCTGGGCCCTAATCTACTTTCTGCTAGATCAGCTTACATTATTAAGTGACGCTTTATACGGTCTTAGTTCTATCAATCATGGACTTCTTCTATCTTGTATCATCTTGAAAATCATCAGGTCATTTTTGTTGATTTGTTGACAGTTATTCTATTAGTCATGTATTTTTCATTCATATTTTTGAGTTATAATGCAATCTAGTCCTGTATATTTAGACTGCAAGCAATAAAAACTTGTATGAAAAAAAAAGTCTCACCTTAACTACGTAATTCTTAGAAGTGTCCACCATCTCATTAAAATATTTTTTGCTATGTATACATTTATAAATCAACCTAAAAGAGAATAGAAACAGAAATTGAATATAATAAACAATAATAGATACTAATACTATTAATAAAAGAAAAAAAATGCATAACAGTAAAAGCCATTTGGAATTACTCCCAATAAACTAAACCATAGAATTTCCCCAAAGGAAACTAAAATGGGATTGAATCGTTAAGGCAAAAAGTTGCAAATATTGGTCCATTAGTTTTATTTATTATAAACTCTAAACAATGTTCTAGAACAAACTAATAAGGCTTGTCTTCGAGTCCGAAGATTAATAAGGAATGCAGTTTTTACTGTGGCTACGCAGCCCCAGCTGTGACCTGCATACTTTGCCACATCCAGCTCAGGCATAACCATTGTCTGCAGGTGCTCTCTTCAATGCCAGTTAAAGCAATTAATGGAATAAGCAATAGTAGGGTGCCTGGTGAATTAATCTCTCTAAAATTAAGCAAAGTGTTCCACTAAATACTCAGAATGTGCGAAGTGACCCGTTCAAAAAAAAAAGTTTGGGGAACTGTTCAAGAACAATTATTGCCTTCAATCATTTGTTGATTTTTTTTTTGTTTTTTAAACTTGTAATTGTGTAAACAAGCTGCTAGGGTTATGTTTTGGGTTTTGTAAGTATTTCGAGCTTTGACCGAAGCTAATCAAGAAAGGAAACGTTGTAATGGGTGCAGCCTTTAAAACTTTAACTTTATTATTAAATCCACTTCAAATTTGTACTGACTAGTTCTCCCAGCAGGAAAAGGCTTTTTAATAAAAGGACCTCGAGACCCTTTTGTAACCTAGGATAACACTATTCTACAACACCACTGCTTTCCATCCGTTTTTTTTTAAATCCATCAGCTATTTGGGGAACTGCTGTGTGGACACTAGTCCCTCCCCAGATTGTTACCTAGCTTCTCTTTCAATTTTATGTAACCTAGCCTCTCTTTCAATTTTATGTAACCTAGCCTCTCTTTCAATTTTATGTACTCTAGCCTCTCTTTCATTTTATGTAATCTAGCCTCTCTCTCAATTTTATTACAAAATTACCCCAGTGATTTAACAGAGTGACTTAAAAAAAGCTTGTTCAAGTTTACCTTAACATAACTAATTTACAATGCCTCTATCGCTTATGACCATAGAACAAATGTATAAATATGTCATAGTGCACACACAAAAAAATAAAAACAACGAGCCTATTAAACCATTTTAGGTTTTTTATAAGTCATGAAGCATAGGGAAAAATAATAAAAATATATATTAAAAATTTTGTAGCTTCTTCATTCACTTTAACTTAAATTGTGAAAGATTTTTTTTTTTTATTTTTATATTTGCTGTAACTATTGCATTTTAGTTCTAACTAGTATTTTCAGACATTCAAATAAATTTTGACAATTTAGTTTTGCCACTGACTTGGTGACAAAAAAAAGTTTCAATACCCGTACAGTTAATTAAAAAAAAGTATTTTAAAAACATTTACAATATATTGAAAGAGTATATACATTAGAATGTTGCAAAAGTTGCAAAATTCTATATAGAAAGAGAAATATATGTTTATTATACATACAGTAGACCTTCTAAATATCTACCTTGTACATTTAGCATACAGAATGTTATAAAGTTAAATATCTATTTATAATATACTGAATAGTTACAGTAGATTTAAAGCAGTGTTTCTCAAACTTTTACATGTGGAGTGGACAGAGTGAGTGCAGGTGCCTCTACAAAAATTAGACCGTTCTGACATTAGAAAGATGTTACTGAAATGTCTTCTTAAAAAAAATGTTTAGAATCCATCTAGTTCCAAAATACAACTTGAAAAGTCATAATTAGGAGATGAAATGACATCACTTAATTCAATGATGTAATTTTATAAATGCTTTTTATATTTGATTTATACTCTAACACAGGCTGATTTTTGTCTTTTGCTCCCATCTTGTCAGCACATGACCACAGTTTGAGAAACGATGATTTACAGACCTATCATTCCTTTATACAAGGTAAAATCAACAGATATGCCATAACTGCCATAGCCATAACTATAAATTGTGGTAAAATTTAGTGTGCTACCGGACCTGTGTGTTGAGCACCTTGCTGTATGGAAGTGAAACATGGTCAACCTACTCATGGCAGGAAAAAAAGCTTAATGTCTTCCACCTCCCATGCCTAAGGCGGATCTTTAAAATAAGGTGGCAAGATAAGATAACCAATGAGGAAGTGCTTCAAAGAGCTGTTATCAGCAGCAGACGCCTTGGCTGGCTTGGCCCCGTTTGTAGAATGCCAGTAGGTCGACTTCCACAGGACATCCTGTATGGCGATCTAATAGAAGGCAGGAGAGCCGCTGGTCGCCCACTTTTCCCTTATACGGATGTAAGCAAACGCGACATGAAGCTCTTCAAAATCGACACTTGCAGCTCTGAAGAGTTGGCACTGGATAGATCCACATGGGGAGAGAGCATAAAGGAAGGGTCAAAGATTGCAGATGTCATACACAACAGAAGCAGAAAGAA